CTCTCCATCTGGCCCCGTCCCTCCGCAGGCCTCCCGTCCGCTGCCACCCTGGCGCTGCGCTGCATGGATGGCGTTTTCCTCTCGCCCAACGAGGATGAGTTCGTGGGCAGGATCGCAGAGGAGCTGGAGCACTTCATGCTGCAGGGGCAGCACCACAGGTAGGTGCCCTGCCACGGCCCCAAGCTGCCGGGTGCACAGGGGTCTCGGCGTGGGGTGACCCACTCCCCGCTGGTGCACGCAGTCCTTGGGTGGTGGCATAAGCCACTCCAGGGGCAACGTGCCACGTCGTGACGCTTGTCTCTGTTTTGCACCGGCTGGGTTTGAGCGGCAGCGTTGGGAGCCTGGCTGCAAGGTCTGGCTGGCTGCGGAGCTCCAGCCTGGCCCTGGAGCATCCCCGCGGGCCAAGGATCAGCCTGGGGTTTCTGCTGCCTGTGCTTCTCCAAGCAGGAGTGGTTTGGATGCTGGTGGCTTTTGCACCAACCCAGGTCTGGCCTAGCTTGCCCGTCAGCCTGATGAGTTATAATGAATAGTTTCATAATCAAACTGCTCCGTTTCCCCTCTCTGCTGAGGGTTTCCCGTGCGCCGCATCCTCCTCTGCGGCAGCGAACTCTCCGCCGTGGATTGCGGCATCGTTTTCCTTTGGCCAGGCTGGATCTAGCGGGACCTAGTCCCTGATCCAGTGGCCTTTGAAGCCCTTGAGATGGCCAAAATGAGGGGTGGGATTACTCAGTTCAGCTTCCTGCCAGCTTTCAATATTTGTTTTGTTACTTTTTAAAAAATGTTTGGCAGAGAAAGTGCCTGTACAATTGTAAAACGCTTTTGGCAGAGAAAGTGCCTGTACAATTGTAAAATACTCAGGAATGAAACCGGAATTGTAAAAACGTGTCTAAATGGAATGAAATCAAATGTGGTGTTTATTCACCCGTTCACGTTCTTTTAGTGACTGGTTTTTGGAGTACACTTGGACTGGAGGAAGGGGACTTGTAGCAGCCTTCTGCTGGTGCTCTCCAGCCATTCGTAGAACAGATACAGGCAGGAATGAGAGGCCCAGCCGAAGGCCCCGGGACTGGGCAGTCCCAGCCGCCCCGCGCTCCCGCTGCTACGTGCAAAGCGAGCGCATCTATCTAGACATCTGGGATGGAGAAGGGATTTTGGCTCTTTAATACCAGAAAGTCCTGCTTGGCTTTTGGGCTTGGATTTAAACCCTACACTGGGAATGACTTGGGGATGGGAAGTCAGTAAATTCGTGCTAGGTTGCTGCCCTTTCCTTCCTGCGAGTTGCCGATGCCTCTGACTCCTCTCTCTTTTCAGAGTGCTCCTGTTCCCCCCTCTGTCCAGTCGCCTCAGGTACCTGATCCATCGGACTGTGGACAATGTGGATTTGTTGAGCAGCTTTTCTGTGGGAGAAGGATGGAGGAGGAGGACGGTCATCTGTCACTCGGCCGTAAGGTACGGTGCAGTCGATGTGAGAGTGCCTCTCTTTCTATGGCCCTGGGGTTTTCATTCAAGCTTACAAGCACTAATTTCTCACGGTCCTTCTCCGCAGAGAAGAGGGTGTCTGTTATGAGTACCATGTCCCAGTCATTAAGGAAGCAGAAGCTCTTTATTTTTTCCTACCTGCTGACTTCTGCGTGGACTTGATGCTTTTCCTCTCTCTCTTTTTTGCAAATGTCGTGTTACTTGGGTTCCTCTGCTCCCCGCTCATGTCCTGCCCTTCTCTTGGTCCCAGGCTGCCCAGCGAGACTAACGACCAAAAACCCAGCAGCAACCCGCTGAGACCGCAGCGACCCCCGCAGCCGTGGGGCCGGGGGGGCCGAGGCGGCAGGCTGCGGCACGGCGGGGACCTGCACGGCGACGCCGCTCGAGCCTGCGTGGGCTCTGGCCGGATAAAAAGGCCGCCACGGAAGAAACCAGATAAAGCCCTGTATGTCCCCAAGGCGATGCGCAAGAAGGCAGAATGGGGGGAGCAGGAGAGCCCGCTGGGGGCTGGCCCCGAGGCAGGCAGGGATGTGGCACAAGGAGAAGAGATCTGTCCTAAAGCTTCGGTTGAGGACACCCAGGAGGAGCTGGGTAAGTCCAAAGGCAGCTCAGGTGATGTCTCCATGGCTCTTGGCAAGCAACAGGAGCCTGGTGAAGAGTGTGCTTTGGGAAAAAGGAATGATGAGACAAATGATGCACGTCCTCCGTGCTGTACGGATGTCCTGTCTTTAGAGAACAGCACCGATTTCTCTGAGCAGGAAAGTCAGGATAGAGACTGTTCCGATTCCCTTTCTTCTGTGAACAATAAAAACCCAACTGAAG